CCAATACTGACACCTGCTACAGAAATAGTACAAAAGAATTATACATGTACGCTACTACAAACAACTCATAACTAGACATAGTATTACCATACCATTTTACCTACTGACATACATAAAAATACATTAAAACAAAAAAATAGTCCTACATCATGACTATTGTTGCTATCCATGCCTGAAACAACACAGAAAAGTCTAAAGTAAAAAAACAAACGGCTACTCAGAATCGAGAAGAATCTGCAACGTTTTCAAAGATCTAAGTGCGCTTCTTCTTCTACTTATGACACGATACAAAATACCTTTAAAACCTATTAGTAACATGATACAAGATACATGTAAGACCCATTAGTAAGTTTAACGAGTTAGAAACCCAAACTCATTTAACAGTTCCCATTGACTATCTTCAGACATGTATTGTCATAGAGACGATGTTAATGTCTTCTTCAGTGGAAGTCCTTGTGTCAGTCTGCCAAGAACCGAACGAAACAAAATTTCATGATCACCTATGAGTCTTCATGTGTCTCTTCAGATTACCCAGCTCACTAAACTGCCTGCTGCACTCCTCACACCTGTAGGGTTTCTCCCCTGTGTGAGTCCGCACATGTCGCTTCAGATTACCCAGCACACTGAACTCCCTGCCGCACTCCTCACACCTGTAGGGCTTCTCTCCGGTGTGTATCTTCATATGTGTCTTCAGATTACCCAGCTCACTGAACTGCTTACTGCACTCCTCACACTTGTAGGGATTCTCTCCAGTGTGAGTAAGCATATGTTTCTTCAGAGTACCGGGCTCAATAAACTGCCTGCTGCACTCCTCGCAGCTGTAGGGTTTCTGCCTTGTGTGAGTGTAGGCGTGTCTTTTCAGGTCAGCCAACTGTCTGAACTGCTTGCTACACTCCTCACACCTGTAGGGTTTCTCCCCTGTGTGTGTTCTTTTATGCTTTTTCAGACTACCCAGCCCACTAAACTGCTTGCTGCATTCCTCACACTTATATGGCTTCTCCCTAGTGTGAGTGCGCATGTGTCTTTTCAGATTACCCAGATAACTGAACTGCTTGCCGCACTCCTCACACCTGTAGGGTTTCTCCCCGGTGTGAGTGCGCATGTGACTCTTCAACTCACACAGCTGAATAAACTGCCTACTGCACTCTTCACATTTGTAGGGTTTCTCCCCTGTGTGCATTCGCACATGTCTCTTCAGATGACTCAGCTGACTAAACTGCCTACTGCACTCCTCACACGTGTAGGATTTCTCTTCGGTGTGAGTTCGCAAGTGAATCTTGAAATCACTTAGCTGACTGAACTGCCTGCTGCACTCCTCACACCTGTAGGGTTTCCCACCTCTGTGTGTTTGCATATGTCTTTTGAGATTACTCAGCACACTGAACTGCCTGCTGCACTCCTCACACCTATATGGTTTCTCTCCTGTGTGAGTGCGCATGTGACTCTTCAGACTACCCAGCACTCTGAACTGCCTGCCACACTCCTCACACCTGTAGGGTTTCTCCCCGGTGTGAGTGCGAATGTGCTTCTTCAACTCACCCAGCTGACTAAACTGTTTGCTGCACTCTTCGCATCTGTAGGGTTTTTCCCCGGTGTGTGTTCGCACATGTCTCTTCAGATTACACAGCTCACGAAACAGCCTGCCGCACTCCTCACATCTGTAGGGTTTCTCCCCTGCGTGAAGTTTCATATGTCTCTTCAGATTACCCAGTTCCCTAAACTCCCTGCCACATTCCTCACACTTGTACGGCTTTTCCCCGGTGTGTATTCTCATGTGTCTCTCCAGATTACCCAGATCACGAAACTGCCTGCTGCACTCCTCACACCTGTAGAGTCTCTCTTCGGTGTGAGTGCGCATGTGTGTCTTGAGATTACCCAGCCGACCGAAATGTCTGCCACACTTCTCACATCTGTACGGTTTCTCCCCGGTGTGAGTGAGGGTGTGCCTCTTCAGACCACTAGGCCGATTGAACTGCTTACCGCACTCCTCACACCTGTAGGGTCTGTCCCTTTTGTTCGTCTTAGCCTCCCGATGACTTCCAAACTGTTTGCTTAACTCCTCCCCCTTTGTAGGACTGCTCACAAAATCTCCATCCGAGCTCCCGCTGACGTCTTCAAAGCCTTTTGTTGCCATTATAACAACAGTCAATCCCGATTCTGCAACAAAGAAGGGCAAAGGTCACCAATTGGCGCATGCCCAGAGGGTCCAGTGCAGCCAAACCAACTGGAAACAGCCTTTTTCTTGGTATGTGTGGATAAATGCTGGCATTAAATTTTCCAGCAAGAGAGTTATTTCCATTTCTATTGAGTTGAAAAAAACTGGCTCTGAGTGTTGTTTTGGCTGCTTGGTAGAGTTCTAAAACTAATCCCATCTTCTTGTGATTTGGTGGTCTTCAAGGGGGTCAGAGGTCATGCTGCCAGTGTTTGCATTTGCCGTGCTATGTATCGCTGGTCAAAAAGTGAAATTTTGGGACTAAATGGACAATTTGGAAGTTGGACTACCCTGTCAATGTGTGTTTGCAATAGTTGAACACTCAAGTAGGTGATTGTTGACAGCTCAGTTCTTAGATGTTTTCTATATATTCCAATAGGGGCTGAAATTAGTGGGCTGTTCCCAGAAAGAGACAACTAAATCTTCGGTTTAGTCAGTCCACTGCAGTTCATTTGACTTCCGCAGGGCGTCATTTCAAAGAAGCTGATACATCTGTGAAAATCTAAATCTATAAAACTGTGACGATGCATGTTAGGCCATGTTGATTTGATTATACGGATGACATCCGCGCGCGCGCCGTTTCCACAAAAAAATTTCAACCATACATTTGAATCATACAAAACAGTTGCAAAATGATATACTAGTATACCGTTAAAAAAAAGATGCTAATGTCGTAGAATGCCAAAATCAAACGAAAAAGACGAAAACGTAAAGAAATGAATTTGAAGAGTAGATTATACGCCATAACAATGTTTTAAGCCATCTGTTCCACCTTCATGACCCTGACATTTCATGATGAAAGCGACTTTTTTTTTTTATTCGCACGCTCGCATCAGTTTTGGGGTTCCCAGAGGATGTCATCTACTACTAGTAGTATGTACACGTGTACAGAGAGGGGGCCTAAAGTGGAACAAGAGCACTAGCTTCTACCAGGCTTGAGGAGGCGGCCGGAAAGAGTAGAAATCGGCCAAAATAGAGAGATAATCATGCCAAGGGAGTTTGTCCGTTGAGAGAACAGT